ACGGATTTAGAAGTCTTGTCTCTCAATCTTAAAATTTGGACATTTTTATGACTAAACGAACAGGCGGAGCAATAGGTAGGCGTTTGCACAGAAAACCTGCTTCCACTGGACAATATACTCACACTTCCTGAGCTTTGTACCTATCTAAAATACAAACTTAATCTGGTTAGATGTCTGGTTCACCGGTTCACTGGAATCATCTGTTCAATTGAGACACTGAACGAAGAACAAAGGTAATATTCACGATCTACTAGGTAGAAACAGATATCCAACCAAATTTGTGAACAAATACACGAACTTAGAAAGTAAAAAGGCGAAGGTGCCGACTGTTCCCAAAAAATTAGTTTTCCCAAAATTACAATTCACGGGTGATGTCAATAATGAGATCTTATCACAACGGCTAAGAAGGGCCTTCAAAAGGACTTTCAACGCAGCTAAGCTATGGTGTATATTCACTAGCCGACCAATAATTAGTTCAAGAAATGAAGGCAGACTGCCTTGTTTCGCCTCTTCCATGCGTATTTACCAGTTTAACTGCCCGTGTGGAGCGTACGATCAGGCTAGTTCACAATCGAATTTCTAAACACCTCCCATCTTGGCTTGACAAAGGTGTGAATAAGGCCATATGCAGCTCAGTGTTAGCTCATCTCGTCGATACTGGACATCAAGTCGACTCTAACAGCGCTTTTAAAGTTATTTATTGTATATTGCCCGACCTCTCACCGTATGGTCTACGAGTACGACTTTTACATGCAGAAGAGGCAATCGGAATTCATCTGAACAAGCCAAAGAAATTTGTACAGCCGCTTTCTTTACCATGGCCAACTACATAATATGTATTAAGTTTTTTAAAGACAATTTTCCCTCCTCCCCTTGTAACTATCTTTTGACTTTGTTAATTTTTACAATTTTCACAATTATAGCTCATTCGATTTACTTGTTTGTATTTTACATAATTCCAGTGAGTCATCATCCTATTCTCCCTACTACTCACCGCTACTATTTGCTGAATTGCTTGATTATGTAATGTTATTATTATTATTGTTTCCTTTAATTCCTAGAGGAACATAGGGCTTCAGCCGTGCGTCCCCATTGCGTTCACCTGGCTCCAAGTCTGCCCACACGTTTTCATCTCCTCTTCACATGACCTCCTCCACTCCATGTCACCCTTGCACTGACGACCAACTCGCCGCTTCCCTTTCGGGTTCCACTCGAATGATGGCTTGTCTAGTGATGTCACTTGATGGTTTCCTCAGAGTATGACCAGCCAATCCATCTCCATTTCTTCCTGCCTATTTGTTTCACAATCGGTTCCTGATGGGTTGGTTCGCTCATTGCCAGAGATCTCTGTTGCTGATCTTTTCTGGCCGGCCATCTGATCTTGAGTAGTATTGAGCGAAGACAGCTAGCTGTTAATGAAGGTCTGTAGTTTGTTTGAGATGCTCTTTATGACGCGCAGTGCAAGTCTCTGATCCGTATAGTGAGTAGCACTGACTTCACATTGGAGTTGAAAATCCGGATCTTATTTTTGATGCTGAGTGCTGTTGACCTCGACACAGACTTGAGAGTAGTGAAAGCTTGTCTTGCTTTCCCGATTCTTGCTTTGATATCCTCGTCAGTTCCGCCCGTAGTTGAGACGATGACTATGTAATGACTTGTTGCTAATGCCGACAAAGAATCGACCTATCTTGAATTCCGTAATTAATCTTCACCCTCACCCACACCACCCCGCCTTTAAAATTTGGATATCTTGTTGCTAACGTCTATAAGTTACCAGTATTGATGACCTTCAACCTCTTAATTTCATCTCCCCACCGCCTATACCTAAAAGTGATTAACTAAAATAACCACTTCATTAGTAAGAAAAAAATTTGATGTAAAAAGCGAATATATATCTATTAGTGTAGAGCCAGCCAGTCGATAATGTGGAAATAATTGAAAAGGAATGCATGACTACTTCTCCGTTCAATCCGCTGTTTTTTTCTAAATGCGTAAATAGGTATTAAAGAAAGAGATGACGAAATTATCCAGTCAGTCAAGGTCATCTGATCACATGTCGAGTAAAAATTGTCAGTCGATTCTTATCAAGGTCAACCAAATCCTATTCATATTGAAGTTTACGCTGAAGATATTGTCTAGACAGGATAGTGAAAGCTAGATAATTCAGTCACCCAGCTTAGATATTGAAACAAGACGGTAAGATTAGAGGATAGAGACCAAAGTCAAGTGACGTTGAACCGACCAATCATATCGTTCATCGTTCATAATTGGATGCTGTTCATGATCTTCGTTGGCAACTAATTCGCTACTACGGTGTGCCACCGACAATTATACATCTCATCCAACAGCTGTACGACAATGCTGCATGCTAAGTAGTCCACAACGGGAAACTTACAGAATCCTTCGAAGTAAAGACGGGAGTAAGACAAGCTGGCTGCCTACTTTCGCCAATGATCTTCCTGATTGCAGTAGATTGGATAATGCGACAAACAGCGGGTAATGAGGAAACAGGTATAAAATGGACCCACGCAAAAAAGAGCTTGGAGGATCTGGACTTCACTGATGATATATGTCTGATTTCCCACAAACTGGAAGATATGCAAGCGAAAAGCAACAAGTTCACAGAAGAAGAAGCATCCAGAGAAGATACGACTTCAGGTGAACATAGAGAGAACGGAGTTGATGAAGATCCCTGGCCAACACCAACAGCCACAGCAACAACAACAGACAGCAATCAGCATAAATGGAAGGAACCTGAAAGGAACTACCTCCTTTACCTACTTGGGAAGCATTGTTTCAACTACAGGAGGAACTGACGAGGATATCAAAGCAAGGATCGGGAAAGCAAGACAAGCTTTCACTACACTCAAGTCTGTGAGGAGGTCAACAGCACTCAGCATCAAAAATAAGATCCGGATTTTCAACTCCAATGTGAAGTCAGTCAGTTCTACTATACGGATCAGAGACTTGGCTAGCGCGTCATAAAGAGCATCTCAAACAAACTACAGACCTTCATTAACAGTTGTCTTCGCTCAATACTACTCAAGATCAGATGGCCGGCCAGAAAAGATCAGCAACAGAGATCTCTGGCAATGAGCGAACCAACACAGCAGGAACCGATTGTGAAACAAATAGGCAGGAAGAAATGGAGATGGATTGGCTGGTCATACTCTGGAAACCATCAAGTGGCGTTACTAGACAAGCCATTGCTCGAGTGGAACCCGCCAAAAGGGAAGCGGTGAGTTGGTCGTCAGTGCAAGAGTGGGTGACTTGGAGGAGGTCATGTGAAGAGGAGATGGAAGCGTGTGGGCAGACGTGGAGGCAGGTGAAAACTTTGGCGGAGAAACGAACGCAATGGAGATGCACGGCTGAAGCCTTATTTTCCTCTAGGAATAAAAGGAAACAATGATAATAATATATGACCTTCGTGGCAAGTTTCACCCAGATTTGGTTTTTTAACTTCCACTGTGTGGAAAATGGGTTGATAGGGAGGTTAAAAACCTGCATATGTGGAGGGATAATGACGCCACAAAAGTATTGCTGGGCTATTGACGGCTACGCATTCACATGCAATCACTGTTATATGAGGAAGTCTGTGCAAGTTGATAAGTCGTACATTATGGTGATTTTTTAGACACTTTCTTCTCAAAATCGAAACTGTCTCCATTAGTAAAATATTACGTATATGCCACAACTGGCTACTGACTGACGCGACCAGTATCTGCTACAGCTGCAGAAACGGAGAATACAAAGATTTCAATAGTGCAGTGGTGTCAGTACTGCGTCACAAAAGCTAAATGGGATCACCTCTGTACTCGGGGGAGTTGGCGTCATCGTGTATATTGACGAAACGGTACTTATTAAGCGAAAAGTGAATCGTAGCAGGAGTAGAGCAAATCATATTTGGGTGCTGGGACTTTACGACACAAATCTTCGTAAAGGGTTTGTAGAACGCATCCCGAACAGAAGTTCTGATGTCTTAATACCAATTATACAACAACTAGTCCTCCCAGGAACTACCATTCACACAGATGAATGAAGAGGTGATTCTCAATTATCATCACTAGGCTAAATTAACCACAAAGTCAACCCTTCTTCTGATTCGGTAGATCCTATTATGGTGGAAGTTTTCTGCTAGCTAAAATTGTAGACAACAATTGACGTCAGTGTTCACGTCCCGAATCGGGGTCACAAGAAAAAACAAGAACAAAGCCGAATCTTGAGTAACTCAACAACCAATCACAGCAGACTTAACGTGGGCGGATACGATTCGCAGATATATGGTCTGACCTTCAAAAAATGGCCACATAGAGATGACAGAATAACCTTCAGCAGGAAACACAAACAATCAGAAGACGTTGCTTCACTTCTAATAATAACGCTAATAAAATGTACATAAAAATCTATAAATACCTCTTGGTTTTCTCAATGAACGATCTGTCGGCTTGCCCTTGTCTTCTGTCGTTACACTATAACAGTAACACATACAAATTCCATTGAAGAATTCTGGGCTCACCTCAAAAAGTCGGATCAAAAAGGTTGAATGGTTCCCGAAGCGATATGGCACATAGCCATTTAGATGAGTTTTTCTATAAACATTGGTTTGATATGTCTATAACCACTCCTATGCGAAACTGGGACCAGTTTTTGCAGCATTTTGGAGATAGTTATCCTGTATAATTCATTTGTATTATATATATACATATATATTTATATTGTGCGTCGGTGGCACAGCGGTAGAGTGCTCGCCGACCACGCCTCATGTGGTCCGGGGTTCGACCCCCGGTCACTGACGCACTCCTTTACGTCGCTAAGCCAGTAGTAAGACTGGAAAAGGGGGAAGGTTGGGCATGAAGCTTGGGACCTCATCCTGTAAAAATAAATACCTCTGCTACAGAAACTTCAAGTCTTTAGTTTGAAGCTCTATGTTTCACTGCGAACGTAAAGGAATAAAAAAAAAACATACATATATATCATTAAATCAGAGAACTGTTAAATACCTTGGAAAATAATTTAAACTTGATTGTATAGCACGCCAAACAGCATCAAAGTATCGTAACAGTATTATCTGATTGCTTATTAAACTTCCCGGTATAATTGGTTTAAAAGACTTTAACATATTGACAGGAGACAGAGCAAATGCAGTAGTATCTGATGCAGTCAGCGAACCAGTCATACATTGTGTTGCTGTCAATTTTTCAGGATCAACTTCCCATAATGTGAAACAAGTTAATACACGTTGAATGAAAAGATGCAGTAATTGATGAAGATACTGAAATTAAAAATTTAGAAAAAACAAACAAACATTACTTCAAAGGTTAAGCAAAAGAAATGTGTTTTCAACCACCTTTCAATTGATTAAAGATGCATTTGTCAATCCAACTGCTATTATGCGACCAATTATATTAGCCATTGTTCTAGAAACTTGGCATTTCATGCTAAGGTTCACATATTAGTGTTGTGGCTAAATAAAGTGTGGTAAGAGCTGTCTGCAAGCCAAAAATGAAGACAACAATTAGATCAGATCCCAGTGGCTGAATGGTCTTGGAAACTACCATGTAACCGGAAGGTTTTGGATTCGAGCCCCTTGTGGACGGTGCGTACTGCTGTAGAGTCCCAAACTAGGAGGGGGGAAACAGCTGTCCAGTACTCCTTGGATTCCAGTGGCTCTCTTACTAAATCTGTCCACGATCAAACTTGAAACAAGTCAGTAGGTAGTTGGAGAATCTCAGTGACATGTTTCAACAACAATTTCAGTGGAGAAGAATTATTCTCAGTGCTGGTTATTATGAGATATTAAGAATAATTTCATTAATTCATATTTAATTAATCTCTCACCATTAACTTCTAACAGATGCTTTCTGTTTATGTTCGAATTATCAGCTAACATTTCATATTAAAAAAAGAAAATTAGAATGCAGCAATATATTTTCAATTATATTATTATTATTTCCTTTCATTACTAGAGGAACATAGGGCTTCAGCCGTGCGTCTCCATTGCGTTCGGTTCTCTGCTAGAGTCTTCACCTGACTCCATGTCTGTCCACACGTTTTCATCTCCTCTTCACATGACCTCCTCCAAGTCACCCACTCTTGCACTGACGACCAACTCACCGCTTCCCTTTCGGCCGGGTTCCACTCAAGCAATGGCTTGTCTAGTGTGATGTCACTTGATGGTTTGCTTACGCAGAGTATGACCAGCCAATCCATCTCCATTTCTTCCTGACTATTTGTTTCACAATTAGTTCCTGCTGGGTTGGTTCGCTCATTGCCAGAGATCTCTGTTGCTGATCTTTTCTGACCGGCCATCTGATCTTGAGTAGTATTGAGCGAAAACAACTGTCAATGAAGGTCTGTAGTTTGTTTGAGATGGTCTTTATGACACGCCAAGTCTCTGATCCGTATAGTAAGTAGCACTGACTTCACATTGGAGTCAAAAATCCTGATCTTATTTTCATTTTCATGCTGAGTAGTGCTGTTGACCTCCACACAGACTTCAGAGTAATGAAAGCTTGTCTTGCTTTTCCGATTCTTGCTTTGATATCCTCGTCAGTTCCGTCCGCCTGTAGTTGAAACGATACTTCCCAGGTAGGTAAACGAGGTTGTTTCTTTCAGGTTCCTCCCAATTATGCTGATCGTTGTCTGTTGTTGTTGTTCTTGTTCAGGAATATTCATCACCTCTGTTTTCTCTGTGTTTACCTGAAGTCCTATCTTTGATGCTTCTTCTGCCAACTTGTTGCTTTTCGCTTGCATATCTTCAGGTTTGTGGGAAATCAGACATATATCATCGGCGAAGTCCAGATCCTCCAAGTTCTCTGTTTGTGTGAGTCCATTTTATGCCTGTTTCCTCACTGCCCGGTCCGCTGTTTGTCGCATTATCCAATCAATTATATGTATACCATTATTTAGATACCCCTGAGTTTGCTAATTGTTGGTATTATAATAGTAGCATGAAGTGTTCACAGAACCTACACCACCTAGGGCCGTCGACGAAAGGTTACCTACCAATGAGATATTCAGCTGGATATTTGAAACTTGCGACCACAAACTGTCAAACATTTAGAACAGCACAATTAACACTTTCTGCAATGACCAGCCAATTTTTAGAGTTGCCTTTTCTGGTTCTAGGTTATCCCTTTTAATCTTCATACATGGTTATTGTTATTATTATTATTATCCCCTTAGGTTCCAAGTGGAACATTCAGCTTCAGAAGTAGAACAACATTTTACTCTGTTCCCTACAGTTTCTTTTAGCTTACTCCACTTTCACTTTCTCCTCTTCACACAATCGCGTCTATGTAACCGGCCAAATTAAACTTTAAGCACCACTGACAACTTCCAATGGAGTGCGAACGCACCAGTGACCTTGAAAACGCGCACTGAGCAAGTTAGTGAAACCTGCCAAGTAATGTTGTCATCATCAATCAAAAATATGCTAATCGAAGTGTTATGCTATTAAATGGGATATCTGGGAAGTTTCAGCTTAGGTTTGGCAAAGACTAAGGTACGCTCTAAACCAAGGACAAGTTAGGGTTAGTTCAACCTAATAAAGGCTAGAGTAGGCTTGATTCGAGTTAGATTACAGTTACTTTAGGCATATTTTCACGTCAGGGTTAGGTTCAGGAAAGATTTGGGTTGTTGCTAGGGTTAGAAGACCTAAATAATTACATGCATAGAATGTGGTTAAATTATTCCGTTGATACAAGAGTAGTGCTCGTGCACTGTGGTGGTAGAGTATAATTCCATTGTGCGTAACATTTATTTTGAAAAAGTCTCACAGTGTTATACAGTAAGTAATATTTACTGATGACCACGTTTTGAGCACAGTTTATTGCCCAGTAAATATTACTTTATTACGCTATGAGACTTTATCAAAATAAATTTTACCCACAATGGAATTATAATCTGTTGATATACACCAACCTAAAACTGGGAGCTATTTTGATCACATGTGAGAGGAAGGTATCCTCTGTAACACTTTTCTACAGTTTTTATGCATTTGTTTTCATAAATATATGTATAGCATACACAAAAATGCCTCCTTCACATGATTGGTGCATTCGAGGTCACTCGCTGATCGGTGGTAGTTAGTGGTGCTTAAAGTTTAACTTTGCCCAAAGGACCCTCGGACTCACATCGAACTCGTCGTTCCCCATTCTGTTTGCCCTTGGGAGCATGGATAACGATATCACTCATCGGTGTCGTCAACGTGTGTGGGCTATGACTGAAGTATAACAGTTCGAGCTGGCACATTCCATTCAGACACGCGAAAGAATGACAATTAGGGGAAATTTGAGGGAGAGAGACAATAGTAACATGAAAAAACGATGGGGTTTAATGAATATGGGACATCACAAAAGAGTGAATGCATCTGCGCCAGGCATTGGGAACAGTTTTGAGTCATATCATCAATAATTTAATAATTCCCATTGTAGCATTAAGATCACAATATTCAGCGAAGAGACTCTTTTCAACAAAGAATTTATTATCAAGCTGTACAATCGTATATTTATCGTTTTTAAGAAGTTATATCCGGTGAGGGAATTGAATCATAGGCGTGAATGCATGAAATAATAATAACAATAGAATGAAATGCATAATTATTATTTTTTTTGTTTTTACAATATTGAATTCTATCGTATCAAATTTTACACCATTTTATATAACATTTTGTATTCGCCTACTAATCCTTTAATTATGTACCCTTTTCCAACAATATCTATACACCTTATGCATTATTCCATACATGACATTGATTGTTTTGCTACTTGACACTTAACTATGATTATAATCAAAAATATTTTAATTGCATTTCATACTATTTTTGTTATTTCATGTATTCACACTTTCGATCTAATTCCCTCACCGGATATAATTTCTTAAAAACTATTTATATATACGATTGTAAACCTTGATTATAAATTCGTTGTTGAAAAGAGTCCCTTCGCTGAATCTTGTGTTCTTAATATCATTAATAGTCTCCAGCCATTTGGTTCTTAGTATCCACCCCCCGGGAACCCCAACCAGGCAGCCTAAACCTACCTATTTGGCCAGCTTAAACTAAACGCCAAAGATCGCGTGGACTGATCCCCATTTTCGGTTTGACAACCACTAACTCTTTTCCAAGCTAATCCTATTGTAACAACAGAAGACAAGGGCCAGGCAACAGATCATTTATTTAGGAAATTAACACATATTTATAGATTTTCATGTACATTATTATATATTATTGTAAGCAGAAAAACACAGTCCTCTGATTGGTTGTTTCTCGCTGAACGTTAATGTTCCATCTCTTTGTGACTGTTTCTTGAAGGTCAGATTATCTATCTGCAAATTGTATCCGCCTACGCAAAGTCTGTTGTGGTTGGTTGTTGAGTCAGTCTTTCATCTTGTTCT